GCTTCACTGAGATCTCCTGAGATTGGCTCTCCTTCACCCCTTAAAACCTGGCATTCCAAGTAGGGGATCCCATACTACTTCCGGTGCCTCCTCTGTGCCTACCTGACCTCATTACAAGCTGTCTAGCCCGTGGAACAAAGAATTGTAACCCCCGGTTCCTGCTGTTGAACGCTTTCAAGGGTTTACTTCAACCTGTTCACCATTCCCAAGCCCAAAGGGGGCATTCACCCCATTCTGGACCTTCTGTAGTCTGCATCAAGGGTACTTTCTGGACCCAGTGGACATAAAGGATACTCACTTATATGTCCCTATATCTTTCCAGAGCATCAATGCTTCCTGCTCTTTGTGGTGGGGCAATACCAGTTCCTAAAACTTTTCTTCATCCTGTCCTCTACACTTTGGGTGTTCACCAAGGTACTGGCTTCAGTACTGGTTCCTTTATATTCTCAAGGTAGATATTCAGTAGATATATGCAAAAAGTGTAAAAAAAATACAATAAAAACCGCTTTAAAAGCGGTGTATATTTACCTGTGTCTTCCCCGCGCATTCCCGTCCGAAAATGTGAAAATTCTGAAAACTGCGCATGCGCAGTTCACATTTTCGGCCGGGAGACGAGGAGAGACAGAAGGTAAGTATATGGACAGCGTGCACCCGCATGCAGGCACCGTTGGACAGGAAATGCCAGCAAGGACAGAGGAGTCAGCGCTGGATCGGAGACCCGCCGCAGCACTGGAGGGACAGATGAAAATGACAGGAAAGAAGAAGATCGGATTAAGGAATATCATTTAAGGTAAGTGCTTTAATTAACATTGGGGGGAGGAAAAAATATCTTTGACTTTAATGTCACTTTAATGGCTTGGTTGTTGAAGACCAGGTTTTGAGAGACATGGTCATCTATAAAAGTATTATCTCTATGATGCTGTACCTCTGGCAGGGTCTATCATTGGATGTGAAAATGTACGTTGCGTAGTGTCCAAGGCTTTTACTCCAGGAATTTCTCCATACAATGGATCCTTCCTCTCCTACAATTTGGTCTGGAGCACCATTTGACCCTTAGTACTAGTGATGCACCGATACCAAGTACCGTACTCAGTACAAGTACAGATACTTTTCGAGCTCCAAGACTAGACTAGAGAAAAACTCAAAAGTTAGGAGGCAGCTGTCATTTGTAAGGAGCACACGGATTTCCTGGGCTTTGTGCATCTCTGTCTTAATGTAGGATTTTGTTTTGATAAATATAAATAAAGGGATGCACAAATATCATTTTTGCAAGTACTGATACTTTTCCAAGTACTTACAAGTACTGATAGATTTTTGTTTATTGTCATGTGACAGTTTTTCTAAAACAATTTCGACTAATGATTTCAGGACAGTGGTGGAGTGCCAGAGCCAGGTCCCAGCAACCGCTGCAACCCTGGTAGTTCTCGTAAAAATGCCAAGTATCTGCACTGGTATCTGAAAAATGTCGGTGCATCCCTACTTAGTACCATCAAGGGCTTGATTTCTGTTCTGCCATTTTTTTCCATAGACCATTGGTCTCCTACTCTCAAGACTTTTAGTTACTTTTGCAAGGGGCCTGCTATGTTGTTGCCAGGTCAAATCCCTTCTCTTGGATTTGAATTTTGTGATTTTTGTTGTTTTAAAAGTAGCCTTCAGAACTTCCTTCCTTCCCAAGGTGGTCTCTGCATTTCACCTTAATCAGGACATTGTCCTACCCTGGATGGGCCCAGGTAGGGTGTTTAGACTTCTAGTTCTACCATTCCTTTATGGCTGAAAATAGAACATTGTGCAAGCTTATAGTCTTAAGGATCAGGACACAAAACAATTGTATGGTGTGCATAGGGTACACAGAATAACACTGCTGCATTGTTCCACAGCGCACTGGATGGCACCAGAGGCCACTGCAATGCTGTGCAGCGACCTTTGAATGGGAGTGTACTCTGCCAATAAAGTAAAAAATGCCTTGCCATCCAGTGAACACCAGCCACACTCACATGAACCGGCCCTTTAAAAGGTCTGCTGTCTGCAACTGCTTTATGTATTTTTAAATGGTGTTTTTTGTTTCTGCTGACATACTGTATACATGCATCATTCCGAGTCGAAAAATGTATGCGGTTTTACACCACATAATATATCCAAAAGAATGTTTTATTGAGCTTCATGCTGTACCAGCTATTGATGAATAGATTCCTGCCATTCAGTGCTTTTTTTTTTTGTTGTTGTTGTTTTTTTTTTTTTCTAAACAGTTTGATCAAAGCTTATAATGTTGTAATAATGGAACCGCCCTAATCTAATAGCATGAGTCTGCCACTCAGTGTTAGCAAACAATATATCTAAAATATATGTTGATTTATATAAAATGGCTATGAATATTCTTTAGGAAACTGAATAGCTTTCTTTTCTATAAGTAGCAGTTTCTATTAGAATGAAAAAAAGGGGATGGAGAATAAAATATTAAACATTTTTAAAAAGATAAGTGACCCAAAACCATTGTATTTCTTTAACTGAAGGATTCCTGGTCATATTTGATTGCATTAGCCAGCATTAAAATGTTGATATTTAGTAACAGTTCTCATCATACTGACAAAATCATACAGGTGAAACTCGAATAATAATAGTATGTTCAGATCCTGTTGATTGTTTGTGTGGTATTCCAACAGTTTAATGGGATAAATCTGAGAAATGCCACTGAGCAGCAAGCAAGACTGATTATTGGACAGCAATGTGATACCATCACCATCTTGGCTCAGTACAATCCTCATATGTGCCAACCCCCCCACTCACGATCCAGGTGAGCTTTCTCATAATATCACTTTCTATGTTACATCATTTTATGGTTTTCTGTTTATTAATTTGATTTATAGAACTGAAAGTAAACTGTCTGTGTAGTGAACTTCATATACAAATAAATGCAATTGTACATTATATGGCCAAAAGTATGCGCTTGTTAGACCCGCTATTCCAAAACCTTGTTAGACATCCTATTCCAAAAGCAAGGCGTTTATTATGGGGTCCCCCACCCATTGTAGCTATACCAGCCTTTACGCTTTTGAGTGTCATTTTGGAAATTTGAGCCTTTTCTGCAAAAAAAAATGGAAAATACTTGTAAGGTCAGGTACTAAAGAATGAGAAGACCTGACACACACTGCATTCCAGTTGACGCTAAATGTGTTTATCAGGAATACAGACAGAGCTCTATGCTGGTCACTCAAATTCCTCCACACCAAACTCAAGGCCATTATCTGTTCCAGCATAACTGTGCATGAAGCCAGGTCCAGAAGGACATGGTTTGCAAATCGTTGTCATGAGGTTAGTAAGTAAATTGTTAGTAAAGTAAAATAAATAAATTGCTAATATGCTGCGCCAGGCTATAATAATCAACTAAAAATCTACTTTAATACTCCTCCATTCAAATGTGATATGTGAATAAATGATTAATGTTTTAGGAATAAACTGTTATATAAAACTTTATTCCTAAAACATTAATCATTTATTCACATATCACATTTGAATGGAGGAGTATTAAAGTAGATTTTTAGTTGATTATTATAGCCTGGCGCAGCATATTAGCAATTTATTTTCACAGACTTCACCACACATTGTTGCAGCTGGCTATCTTCTAGACACTATATATTACTCCTAGCGCAACTATTTGTCGTTTTATGTTGTGATGAGGTTGGAAGCACTCTGTCATCTAAAATGTCTTTGTACTGTATGCACTAGCATCAACTGTATCCTTTATTGAAAACACCTGAACTGATTTGGAGTAGTGTCTACATAACTTTGGCCATAGAAAGTATGTTCTCTATATGGTGGTATTTGTAAAAAATTGCAACTAACTGGGCAAACAAACACAGTACAACTGTGTTTTAAAATGGGTTTTTTCTCTATCATAAAGAAACAGCAACCACCCATCAGTTGATGATGATCAGAGTAGCTTTTCATTCCAGTAAGCTGCTTATCTTGTATAAAATGCAGGCAATACTTCTGCCATTTTTAGAGATGCTCAGCCCAAAAACAATTACCATAGGTTCAGACTCAGAAATGCATTGATCAGCTTTGGTTTTTTTCACCTAAATTACAATTGTATTAACATTCCAGATCTTTGGGCTCATACTTTTTACCTCCTGTAGACCTTGTGTGGATGGTGGAACCCACTGTATGCATGCTTTAGTCAAACTGACAGCCAAGACCCGCTATTTACAACCACTAAGGGCAGACATTTTAAAGGGGCTTACTGTTCTTGCTGATGTACATTTACTTGAATCTTCCCTTGGATTTATAACTTTTCTTGTGGAAGTGTGTGTGTGTGTGTGTGTATAATGTATATGCTTTGAAAATATTCCTACAGTTCCCGACTGGATGCTAGTACTACTCATTCCACGCCGCATGGAAGTGGGGCGGCAACACCTGACAATCATTCCGTTATTGACACTGTGAGTGAGCAAGATGAGGGGACTATGACTCCGCCTTCAAAAGAAACCACGCCCAGCACAAGCCCTTACAGCTCACTCAAGTAATATATTTAACGTTTTCCCGCTTGTCTTCCTAGTCCATAATGTATATACAGAAGCTTTTGCTTTTCCTCGTGGGCTTTTTTTTATTTTTTAACTTTAGTTTTAGACAAGAATAGCCATTTTAGAATTTGCTATTTTTTATTAATTTGTCCTGGTTTGCTAGAAAGATTCAGATGATGGTCCAGGCTATATAAGAAATTGCTACTCATACGCCATTAAAGTGTATGCAAGCCTTGCAGTAAAGTTCTCTTATTTGCTCCTCTTTATTCTGTTAGTGTATTTCCACTTTTGCAGCCAAATTGGGATAACACCTATTTTATATTTGTTACATGTTCCCATTCACATAACATAAGCTAAAGAAAAAATCTTCTTGCTTTTACTTAGGTTAGTGTTTCTTGGCTTCTTAAGGGTTAACAATTCTACTTGCTTCTCCTTCTATTGTAATTTAAGGAGGGGTTGTGAGGGGTTTGCATACCTGGCCAGCTGGAAGCACTTTTGTAGGTCCGTATGCCATACGTCCTTGGCAGCGAAAGGGTTAATGAGAGAAACTCAATCCACAATTTTCAGTCCTATGTCAATCTATAAGGACACATCACTATGAGGGTGTATTTTCTGAAAGCGCAGGCCAGGTAGAATAAAAAGATGGTGCTACTAATTTTGTAGGTCCTGCGATAATTGTGCAAATGTTTATCAAATCAATATTAAACCGATAAAAATACACAATTAAATTGCTAAAAGCACACTAAAATCAGGATCAGTGCACAATCAAGAAAATTCTGATTAACTCTAAAAGATAAAACTGTATTTCGTTAATATTTGTGAAATGTTAAATTGCGCCTTTTTCGAAACAGTAAAAAAATGAAGTATTTGGTCTAAATTAGAAGCAAACAGCCTAGGGTGACAATGCTGCTCCTTCATAGTTACAGTACAATGAATAAGTGTTGTCATACTGATATAGGAAGGGTTTTACTGGCTGCATTACCTATAGATGACAATAAAGGAAAAATAATTTACAAAAAATGAATGCAGCCACCACATCTAAAGACTGGAAAGCTGCAATTTATAACTGTTTGTCTATAAGTTTAGATACACTTAATGTCATTTTGCAGCAATTTCACAACATTGTCCTCATCTGAGTACAGCTTACACTCATATATATCATGATCTTTTTTTGAAATTTTCCCTGGAGTTTACAAGATGGACTTAAACTTTTTTTTGTTTAGGACCCCTATGGAAGGTGTAAAAAGACATTCAGAGGTCCGTACAGTCACCCTTTCTAAATCTCCAGTAGAGCTTGGAATGCAGATCTGTGGAGGTAATCTTCATGGTATTTTTGTGATGGATGTTGATGAGGATAGCGCTGCAGGTGGACTATCGGGGCTACTACCAGGAGACCTGATTCTAGAAGTAAGTGGAAAGTACATGAGGCATACTTACTGAATGGAACTGTTGCTGCTTCTGAAGAAAAAGCCAAATGTGAGTTACAATTTTTTTGCCCCAGCTTTTTTAAAACCACTTTTTTGTTTTCTTTTAGATGCAGCATTTTCTTAATCAATGTATACAGGGATTCTCTCTTTAAAGCACAGATCATTACTGTTTATAATTGCACAATGTATGACGTTTTGATACATCTACCATTCATTTTCTCAATGCATTATAAAACCGGCTTTGTTTAGCTTTAGGCATGGTTTAAGTTCATATTATCCTTCTTTTAATATGATTGCTCAGGGTAAGGTGACATTAAGAAATCAGGCTTTCCAGACACCATATAAGCTGGCATGTTTATGATGACACTCGGAATTATATCTCTTTAAGACGATACATGTAATGTACATACATCAAATAGAAACCACAAAGCTATAGAATAAATGAAAACATACTTATTCTACAATAATATTTTGGAGAAGTGAGTGTGAGGCGATGCTGCTTTTTAAAACATTGCAGCACCTGGGTCCAATTCTGCTGTTGTCCTGTGTAGGGTCAATGTCAGGCATTTGTACCATTTTGTTGTCACTCCAGCTGAACCAGCTCCCTCTTTTCTGTGTTCTAATAGATCTCAGTAGAGATGTAGGAGGACTAAAGGTGGGAGCGAAATGTATTGAAGAAATAGAGGTTTTAGGAATATTCATTGGTTGGCCTCACTTCAGTCTTTCCTGCGTGAAACATGACGTTTAACATTTGATTTTTTGTAAATTTACCCCCTATGCAATTTTTATATCTCTTGCAAATCATAATATATTCAAGTCCTCAGTTTAAAGTAGTAAACTCACTTTTTTCAATAAATGAATCCAGATCATACAAATATACATTGCCCAGCATAGCATTGCTTTACATCTTTACATATTAGCCCAAACACCATCATTATATTTCCCAACAGCTGCTTCCAAGTCTCTCGGCTCAGCTTCCCTGAACTAGATCCGGTGCTAGATCACAAAGAACAGTGCAGACTCCAGCAACTGTTCATCGACCAGCTCTGAGAAGGGAGGAAAGTAGCTTGATTTACTGTGTGTTTGTCGAGACACACAGAGCTTACTAGCACACACAAGGTGACTCCATAGCACTCTGCTTGCGAAAGGAGTCACTCTAAAACAGGAAGTCATGACCAGAGCTCAGGGGACCAGCTGATTCTGCAGGAAACTAAAGCTTTTAAACATTAAGGAGCAGCATTCATTGTAAGTGATTTCATCAGCATTTGAAATATCTTAAAATCCTTTTGACTTTAATATCACTTTAAGCTGGTTTTAAAAGGAAATAAGACAGAATGAAAGTATCAGAGCTGTTGTTTCTGAAGGTGCTGATTCTGAACCACACACCTAAAGCAAGTACCGTGTTTCCCTGAAAAGAAGTCACTGTCTTATATTTTTTTTCCCCCGAAAAAAGACACTATTTTCGGGGGATGTCTTATTTTTACCTGGCTGCAGCTGTCTGATGCCGTCCAGGGAGCCACCAGTCAGAAGTTCCCTGACCTCACTTCAACCCGCGCTGTGCCTGCTGGGAAATGTAGTTTTCAGCGGCAGCCGAGGCAGACGGGTATGTGTGCGTGTGTGCGTGCGGGCGGGAGCTGCGTCCGGTCTTGACATGTAAATTTCAATTATATGTGCAGCTACCCTGAAAATAAGACCTAGAGCTATCCTTCAGGGATTTCTGTAATAGGAGATCTACCACCGAACTCGGTCTTATTTTCAGGGTAGGTCTTATATTACAGAAATCCCTGAAGATAGCGCTAAGTCTTACTTTCGGGGAAACACGGTATGTCCTTATAAGAGGTCCTGATGTTTCACAGTCCAGGACTATGTAAATTAAAAATCAATTCACCAATGCCAGCTCCTATATTTATATCCTCACAGGTTCCCATTAAGTAAATGCTCTATATGCTATGTGTGAGTCAGGATCCCAAATAGAACTTATAACCATATGGTGAACCCCACATATTATTAAGTGTATTAGTGGTCCTTGTCTGGGGCCTCTTAATAAAGGGAACACACGTCCGCGCTGTCATCTGATATTGATGACTATCTGATGAGTCTCACATTGTCAGTCTGCATTTGCAGATCACAGTGCACCTGTCAGTTTTATGAAGGCGCACGCCATCACATAAGCCCTGATTTGAAGAACAGGACATATGTGGTTGATGAAGGAAAAAAATATATATATATATTTTCTATCTCGCACACAAAATCTGATTCTTTTGAGATCTTTTAAAGCCTTTAAAAGCATCCTATGAGATTTGTTTTACATATACAGACAGAATCTTACATTTCCCTTCAAATGCATGGGATTGCTGACATTATTAGTTTCCTTACTGTGTATCCCACTCTTCTCACTCATTTGCAGTCCTGTCATTATTCAGCCACAAGATGGCAGCACAATGTGCACAAGAATGGGACACAATCGAGCAACTCTGCCAAGAATTGATTCTCTCTTGTTTGAGTTACATTTTGATTTTATTGAATTTGTTATAGGCATAGAAGGCAGAATTGACTTTGTATTTCTCTATAGTTTATTCTGCCATTTACATTTACTGTGTTTTATGATTTGGGACGCTGATCTCATATTCCGTCACCCTCTTTCAGGTGAACTTACAGCTATAGTGTAGTATGGGAAGAGACCTTGGTGCTTCCCCTCCATTCACCATTCCAGCCGTTAGTCATGGCATATGATGTGTATCTTTTTGCTGGGGGTAGAATGACCATGATATACAATATCTGAGGGCATGAGATATTTAAAATAGTGTCAGACATGTTTTCACTGTAGGAATCATTTTTCCCATTTTCCTAATGTGGTGTTTTTGTGGAAGTGATTTTAAAAAGTTTTTTTTATGTTCTTTGAATTCTAGATTTATAATGTTTGTAATTAAGTTTGGCCTTAATTGTTTGTTTTTTGTTATGTAATTTGTCTTAACGTTTTACTTTTGTAGTATGGTTCGGTTGATATGAGGAACAAAACAGCTGAAGAATCTTACCTAGAAATGTTGAAACCAACAGAGAATGTCAAGCTAAAAGTACAACAAAAATTAGAGGAATTCAATAGAATCAAAGATCAAACCGGGGATGGTTTCTATGTGAGGTTAGTTCAAACATAACACTGACCATCAGGCACATATGGTATGTGTGTGATATATATTTTAGTATACAATCACCATTTGCATTTCTTAAGGAAATTATTATTTCTTTCTCGTCCTTTGAGGGACACCGCTCTGAGAAATTCTGAGATGTAGGGTTATGCTGCTGCCTCCAGGAGAAATGGACACTAGGAAAAAGAATGAAAAGCCTACCACTTTAAGGACAAAACCTGTTAACTGCTGGAGTTCTTCCACATTTTGATTGTGTGGATCAGATGACTCATTTCATATGTGATGCGTTTCTTGATGCTTGTCATCTGCTATCTGGCCCATTTCCACCTTTTGTGATTTAGCATTTATTGTGGTTATGTAGAGGTGCAGTGATAATGTATATGTGTGCACATTTTCATGACTCACATTGCAGGCTTTCTTTCTTTTTTTTTGGACTTTTTAGTAGTCATGAGTCCTACAAATTGAACATTCTCTCCACAGGAAACTCGGTCTTGCACTAGGTTCGGATTGTGTAGCAGCTGACCCCCTCCCCTCTAGTTCATTGTAACAAGATCACTGCACACCCACTTTGTGTTTCCAGGTCAGAATACACTGTCCAGGGTGGGGGGGGATTCTTTATTTGTTCTACTTGAAGGTCCTAGAAAAGGATGTTCAGCTTCTAGAACCACTATTTTCAAGGTGATTCATCAGGTTTTCATTGATGCTTATGAGCTTCTGTTACACAAATTACAAGGCTGCAACTTGGTCTTCTGTTGGCATTTTTGCTAAGTTTTATAAAGTTGATGTTTCTGCTTCTTCTAATGCTAGTTTTGGCAGAAATGTTTTTCAGGCGGCTGTTTTGAGTATTTGAGCTGGTTCTTCTAGTTTTCATGATGCCCATCGCTCTGTTTTTGGACTGCTTTTTAACATCCCTATGTCTCAGAATTCCTCAGAGCTCTGTCCCTGAATGGACGATAGAGAAAATAGGATTTTGTTCTTACTGTAAAATCCGGAGTCCATTGAAGGACGTGGCTCCCTCCCTTTAAGTTCCTTTGTACTGCTTGCTACAACTGGCAGGTGTGAGTTGGGAGGGGTTATATCCTTAAAGTGGTAGGCTTTTAATTTTTTTGCTAGTGTCCATTTTTCCTGGAGGCAGCAGCATTATCCTACATGTTAGACTTCTTCAGAGCTCTGTCCTTCTATGGACTCAGAGAAAAGGATTTTACGGTAAGAACAAAATGCTTTTTTCCCCCCAAATACAACTAATCTCCTCTTCCTTTTTATTCCTCTGCCTTTTCTTTTTCCTTTTCTTCCCTTTTTTCCTTTTTCTTTTTCCTCCCTTTTTCATTTTCTTTTCCCCTCCCTTTTTCTTCCCTACCTTTTTGTTCTCCTTTTCTTGCCTTTTTTTTCCCTGCCTTTTTTTTCTCCTTTTCTTCCATCCATTTTTTTCCCTCCCCTTTTTTTCCCTTTTCCCTCCCTTTTTTTTCATTTTTTTTTCCTCCCCTTTTTTTTCATGTTTTTCTTCCCTTTTTTCATTTTTCTTCTTCGCTCTAAGCATAGCAGCAACTTTGTAACTGATTGTGAGCATCTATTATGTAGGTATGCATGTTATATTCCTGCTAAGACGGTCCTGCAAGCTAGCGCAGTGATGAGGGATGTAGGGTAATTACAGCCTGGTATTATTAAAGTATGATGGTTATTGCAGGTTAGTACAGCTGGCACAAGGTACCCATGGGATGTAGGCACATAATGGCATTGTTGGTTGGTATTGCGTTGGACTAAGCACAGTCTGTTTTAAGAGCATGGAACGTTTCTCTTAAATTGGTTATTATTAGTACTTTTGTGCTCTGGTAGTCTTGAAACCTTTTGTAAAAGATTGTCATTATAGTAGTGCTAAGTTTTTTTAATAAAAAAAATACAATATTTCCTTAATAAGATCTATATGGAAGCCTTGACTTGTATTTTTACAGCACAAATCAAAAATTATGATGTGATTTATTTTTAGGAAGGTTTTTGGGGTGCCTGTTTTGCTAGCAGCAAATCTCCTTCTGTAAGTAAAATAAGGAAGGTGTTCTGCCTCTGGTGAATTTCTGTACAAGACTTTTGGATTCGTGTGTTGCAGCGAGCTCCCAGTTATCCGGTACCCATGGGGATTGGTTTGGATTAGTTGCTAACATTTTTTAGTGTGCACATGTCTATCAAGCAACTGGCAAAACATTGAGGACAACAATCCTTGTGTTTTTTTGTTTTTGTGGTTGCTTGAGAGTTCTGGTTGCTTGAATGCTGGATAATGGGGAGTTTACTGTATTCTGCTTTTCTTACCAACACCATTAAGTGATATAATTGGACACATCATGTTCACTTTATTTCTGTAACATGTGAAAGTCTTAACCTTCCTTTTATTACATCACTGGGGCAATTCATATACAGTACATAGTTGATGGAAAGCTACTATCATGTTATAAACTTATTTTGATATATTCATTTTCAGAGCACTTTACGATAGAACAGGAGAAAATTCTCAGGAGCTGAGTTTTAAGAAGGATGATATACTGTTTGTGGATGACACCCTCCCTCAAGGAGCTTTTGGTGTATGGATGGGTTGGCAGCTTGATGAAAATGCTCAGAAACTGGAGAGAGGCCAGATTCCTAGCAAATACATGTGAGTATGAAAAGTTGCTATAAGGGTTGCAGGCAGTCCTGAGTCAGCCAGTGCTATAAAGTGTCTGTCCGGTACACAATATTGACACCCCACCACAGCTTGTTTTACAATTCCACAAACAGACTTTAATTGGACAAAAATAAAATGAGAAGATAGGACTGTGAAGATTTATATTGGTAAACTGTACAAACATTTCATTGTTTTACTTGCATGCATAGTGAAATCCTGATTAATACAAATACTTGTAAATTGAAGTGTTTTGAAAAATGTCACTGCTTTAGTGACCTCTGAAAACAGGAGTACATACAGATGTAAAGTATTTGCAGTTACCTTGGCCTACTTAATGTAAAATGCTTAATGCTGAATATTTTCTTCAGGATGGAGCAGGAATTCTCACGACGGCTCAGTGTTTCAGAGGCAAAAGATGAAGGTTCTGCTGGGAAGACGCTTTCTGCCGCAGCCAGGCGCTCCTTCTTCCGCAGGAAACACAAACATAAGCGGAGTGGGTCTAAAGATGGCAAGGAACTTCAAGGACTTGATACAATTAGCACAGATTCCATCCTCTTCCTAGATGGTGAGTCATGGGGACACAGCAAAAGTAATACAGACAATGTCCCTAGTGAGACCTGAATCCAGTGCTGCAAGGGAACAGTACTACCTACTTAGTTATGGCTTGTTCACACCGAATGCGCTACGTTCCAGAGCGGTAGCTGCTGGAACGCACCACGATCCCTCATGAAACTTCCCCCTGCGTTCTGGGGCGGGAGCA